GATGCTCTGATGCGACCTGAGTGCTCACACTGTGCGTCCATAAAATGAAGGTTATAACAGAAACTCTCCCTCTCTGTCTTTCACTCACACACACACGCACACCACCGCCATCAACTTTGCTAAATTGCTAATGAAAAACATGATCAGGCAGCTGTGATTGAGCAGCAATGTAAATCCAACTATTTTCACGGTTGTTGTGGTCGTGATAATTTTGTGAGGCCACATCGAAAAGGCTCGGATGAGCTTTCCAAAGTTCTACAAGTGCCTCCATCGCTTGTGTCCATATCACACGCTGCACTGCCGTGCTGCGACGTCTTTTTCACTGACATTTGTGTTTGCGCGTGCGCAGTGTGAGAAACTGCGGTGACACCCTCACGACGGTCGTGAGGATTTCAAAAAGGTTTGAAATCCTCACGACCAAGCGATTGATGATCGGGAGCTGGTCGTGAGGTGTTAATTGCTTCTCGTTACCCCACGTATACTACACGATGCACGACGCACGATGAAGGCCAAAATCGGGCCGTTTGCCAAAACGGTCGCACGACTCAAAAATCGGCTCAAAATGGGCCAAAAATCGCACAGTGTGAGCCCGGCATTAAGATGGTTTTGTTTAAAAATCCCAGTAGATCACGTTTCAGTTTCTGAAACATTCAGACCTGGATTTTTATGATGTAGATTTTGTTTCTTGTTTTTTTTTTAAAAGAGGAAAAAAAAGATTTTGTATCTTGAAACAAAACTAAACTAGCTGCTTTTGCTCATACCTCTCCGATCATCCCGTTCCAGATTCCTCGAACCAGCTTGCCGTGCTTGCCGTTGGTGACCAGGTAGAGGTCGTAGGAGAACTTAATAGTGCGGGACAGTTTCTTCAGGATGTCTATGCAGAAACCTTTACAGCACAGCTTTGTGTATGGCTCAGTGTGGCCTACGATACTGAAAGGGAACGAGAAAGGAAAAAGAGATCGGAACGCTGGGATACTGAATTTTTTTAACATGTTTTCTTTGAGAAACTGCAGAAAGTTTTCTTCTTCTTCCTGTTTTGTAGACCCAACACATAGTCAGGTCATTTTTACAAATGATTTGAGAAATGAGGAATGATTGACTGGAGTGGGGTGAAGAGGTAATGAACAGCCATCTCTTCATCGTCAAAGCTGCGGTGGATGTCGGAGGGAAATTGTGAGCCACTCTACAGGCGTGCACATGATGCCTTGGTCCCAGCAGATGGATGAACAGCTGGGTGGAACAAAACAATACATACAGACATAATTAATGACACACAAACAATAGCAGACAGGAAACTCATTGGAGGATCATCTGGGCTGGATGATGGCGTTTTTGCCACACACACACAAAGAGTAGCAAATGGGATGCTAAGGATATGGTGATACGTTTAAGGTTTATGGTTGCCTGTGGTTCCATCAGTCAGTCTTTCAAGTTCACCAGTAAAACAAACTGGTTGGAATGAACTGTGCATTAGTTTCTGTTTAAATGCCTTGTGAAAACCCCCGCCACTCTTAAGCTCAGTCACTTCGGTAATGAAGATAAACTTTAATGCGTTTGTCACACAGTGCTGCTCTAACAGCGTAACGACTGCCTCTTTCTGTGTTAGAACAGCATATAAAACGTAGCGTTAAGGCTGGCAGGCGGCCACGTTTCTCGCCAATCATTTCATCTTTTATTATTCAACTACCGCTGCAAAGCTTTTAATGCTGCATTAAAAATGCTATATTGTTCCTTGCAGCCATATCTTCTTGAGACTCATGCATACAACAGTTTGTCCTCTGACCCGGGCTGATTGTCTCTGC